ATCAATGACATGAATCGCCTGCATGCGGCCAAGCCGGAATTATCGCTTGAGCAGGCCCATAGCTCTAAATTCTATGCAGCATTTGAATCCCACTTGTCTTGTGTTAGTCGTAAATAATACCTAGGCCCTGCATTGTGGACTTAAAGTGGTGCATGGTGTGAAATTCACCCCTCGTAACTGGTCAAGTTCCATACTGTGTATTGGCCCGCTAGGTCTGCACTCTTTGTGTGTGTGTGTGTGTGTGTGTGTGTGTGTGTGTGAGAGAGGGTGGTGGTGAGACAGAATTTCAGATGAACGTGAGATAAAAACCACTTGTTTAAAATACTTTAGTTGCTTTGCTGGACTTTGTCTATGTAGACAGATTTAAATTGTTAGAATTATTGCAAGATATTAAAGATATAGCATGCAGTCTTTTTTCCTTAAATTTATACGGATATCTGGGTACCAAATGGTCATGTGACATTGTGTGAACTGTGACAGTATCTTCTGGGTCTCTATTTTCTGCTGATGTTTTAAAACTATTTGGGGTTTTTTGGTGAGCATCCTAAGTGTGTCGTCTCCTGAGCTACTTCAACATAAGCAGTGATTTATGGAAGTAGATCGGGGGTGGCATGGAAATTGTAATGGGTGGCATCTCTGTAAGTGAACAGGGCGCTAATACCTCCTGTTAGCAAACATCTGATCCCGAGACTATGGTACCAAGGGCTCCTTGGAGAACATATAAACAATCAAAGCTTTGAGAAAGTGTTCAGATGATTTGACCCTCTATTACCCTTTCAACCCAGACCTGTTAAAACAATACCATACTGTGTTTTTTCCCAAGTTAGTTGCATTCAGCAGGTGGTGTATTTTATCTCACTGTCTGCAATATTGATCCTATGTGTAACCTTTCATTCTAATTAAACTGAAGCTTGATTTCATATCATTTTTATGATTTAACTGAATTGGGACTTCAGGACATGATTCAGGTTATTAAAAAAAGCTCATTAAAAGTGTCTCGGTGTATGTTTAGCTTCTTGGAACAAATACATTCCAAATATCTTGCCCTCAGAATCAAATATTTACAATAGTGTGAAATTCATACCTGGGCAGAGGATCAGCACAAGGCCTATGCACCACTACCATCCCTCTGCAGATCTCAAAATGGTGCTTAATTAATAAATAAATGGAGATATCCCATCTCCTAGAACTGGAAGGGACCTAGAACTGGAAAGGTCATCGAGTCCAGCCCCCTGCGTTCACTAGCAGGACCAAGTACTGATTTTGCCCCAGATCCCTAAGTAGCCCCCTCAAGGATTGAACTCACAACCCTGGGTTTAGCAGGCCAATGCTCAAACCACTGAGCTATCCCTCCCCCCTCAGTTCAATATCCTCAGTTAACATCTGCCTATTGCATTCGCTCATCAGCAAATTCTGGCTACTTGTTTGTTAATAGAGCAGATTCTAACGGCGCTGAGTGGTTAGCTGGTAACAATAGCAAAAGTTAGTGTTCTCTTTTTTCTTTATATTTACACTTTACATGACTGCTTTGATTTGTCATGTATTTCTCAGGCCTAATTTCATATCTGTGCTTTTGCTTCATGTTTTTTTCCCCTCATTGAAGGTCATATCTAACATTTTGATCTTATTTGTGCAATTTCTTTAGGATGGTTGTAGTCATGTAGGGAGGGAAAAAGCATGAGTTTTTAATCTTTTAATGCATATGATGAATGTAGTTCTAAGAATCAGTATTCCTATCTATTTCAAAATAGGACAAATTATTTTACCTCTGATTTCTCCACTCCATGGGGTTTTATGAAGAGAACAGATCATAGAATACCAGGGTTGGAAGGCACCTCAGGAGGTCATCTAATCCAACCCGCTGCTCAAAGCAGGACCAATCCCCAGACAGATTTTTGCCCCAGATCCCTAAATGGCCCCCTCAAGGATTGAACTCACAGCCCTGGGTTTAGCAGGCCAATGCTCAGACCACCGAGCTATCCCTCCCTCCTGGCCTGTGTTTGTATCCCCATCTGAGAAACAATAAATGGAATTAAACCTACTCCACAGGGTTATTAGAAGGCATCATTAATGCTAGTAAAGTGCTGTGATTCCCTTCAGTGAAAGGGGCCATAGACATGAAGTTATTCAGTAGGCAAGGTTCTTGCCTGTCAATTTTTGCCCTAATTTGGCTAAGGGCAGAGTACCTGCTACTCTCATTGACTCAGTGGAAGACAAATTGTGGATTCAACACACCCTCTCAGGACCAGACCTGTAACTGCACCACAGAACAACTGAAATGTGGCACAACTCAAGCAGACAGGTGTCCAGAGTTTTCATCCATAGTGGCTAGTAGCCCATGTAAAGGGGATATTCATGTTAACTACATGCAAGCTGCCCGGCTTCAAGCTCCCCTGTGCTGCCACCAGAACGAGGGAGGCCGCAGCCCCAACAGGACTTCCCATTATGCGATGAACTAGGGTGAGGAGAGGCAGGTGCTCCTTAATGATCACCTGGGGTATAATTCCAACACCGCTCCTTGCAGCATTTAGCATCACAAATAACATGCTGCTCTCGCTGGCCAGTTTGCATTCACAATGGTGGTGGGGCTTGCAGAACAGAGATCGGAGCAACAAGGGAATCATCTAACTCACGAATAAGGCCGCTCTGCCTCCCATTGCTGGCAAGTAATCTGTGGGGATGCTGACTGAAGCTTTGGGAGGGACAATGTCTAAGATTTTCCCAAGGATTATCTGTTTCTGTGCAGCGTATTGGGTGTAAATATTCTCCTTTACAGCTAGAGCACTGGGGATAGTTCTACCCCTTGATTTTTTTATCCTTTAAACCTGTGTCAGCGAATGTTAGGAATCTCCTCTTCCCTGCTGCAATTTCATGATATCCATCTTCTGTTGACTGCTGCAGACAGGAACTATGCTCTGTGCTTTCAAAAAAAAAAAAATGAGTGCTGGTTTCCTAGCCCTACAAGCCTCTCTTGCCTACAGCACAGGGGATGGCAGTGCATTGATGTGGAGGGTCTGCTTGCAGGAATGAAAGCACAAGCGCTGTCTCCATGGATATCCAATACTCAGCACTTCTCTGGAGA